AATCAATCAATCAATCAATCAATCAATCACGCGGGGGGAGAGCCCTCCCCCACCAGTCAATCAAGCAATCAATCAATCAATCAATCAATCAACGAAAAAAAAAAAATCGACGAAACTAATCAATCAATCAATCAATCAATCATTCAATCAATCAAAGGCAGGGTGGGGCGACCCCGCGCCCACCAATCAATCAATCAATCAATCAATCAATCAATCAATCAACGGAAAAAAAAAAACAAAAAAAAAACGCGTTAAGGATGTCGGGGGCCGCCACGTGGCGCAGGCCGCCGCGTACCTTAGTTGGGCCTTCGGGATTCCGGATTTCTCTGTGCACTGCTACGTCTGCAGTTCACGCAAAACGTATTGGGCCAATAGGGGCTATGGCCGGCCACGGAACGACACTGAGTTGATGATACGGGAGAAGGAGGTGGAAAGGAGGGAAACTGGTGGTGATCTCAACAAATCCCGGGTGGGTGTAGTAGGTGTGGTCGGGAGAAGGGAAATCGGAGCGCCGAGGGTCGCTAGAGGTGGCACAGTGGAATTCCCGCGGACATAGCTGATTCTCCGCGTAACAGGGATATCGTGTCCTTATGAGCTTGTTTATTATAGGGGTGAAATAGTCCGGGTCATAGGATGAGTCTGAGCCCCAAGATCGCGTCATGGTATCATCGTCGATGGGATAGCGGGGGTCGGGATATCGTCACCGCGCACGAGCACGTGTAGGGCACGCCGACTCAGTGGCGCCTCAGCGTGCTCGTACGGGATGACGGTTCCGCCGCGAATCCTTTTTGGGTGAGCGAATCGACGCACGAGAATGCGTGTAAGGGCGCGACTCGGATCGCGTTTATACGTGTTTTCGCGCGGCGTTCGCGGGACTGGACTTCGGATCATCGATTATGCAAGATGCAATCATATCACAATCCCCATCGCGGGATAAGCAAAAATGAGAACAAAATCACTATCGGGGCCAGATTCTTATCCCATCTACAGCGACATCAGGTGCAGTCAAAGATTCGACACAGACATAACGCAAGGACAGGGATTCGCAGCAAAAAGATAGACAAGCAGTCGTAATATCCATACATCCATACATTCGACAATCTTACACATAATGCAAGCAGGACAAACATCGCAAGGACAAGTGTGAACAAAAACCCAAGCCCAGATTTCAGAAAGCCGAAACGAAAATAAGAACGGGCAAACCGCCCGGAGCCGCAATCAAAATGTATGTACACAGATGAAGAGGGGGAAGAGACAAGAAAACAACAAATCTGTGTCTATCAACCTCAACTCTCTCCTCTCTCTCTCTCTCTCTCCGGTGTAGACAGTTCGTCGTCATGCACCAACCGACGAAGTTGTCACCCAGCTTAGTCCTCCCGCACCCGTCGGATTTGCCCGTGCCCACAGTCCGTCGTGGCCCACGTCAACCCCGCGCGTTCGGCACCAGCCCGCCGGGTCGCCCAACTCTTACTTTACTCACTTCTTACTTCGCTCGTGTGCCTACCTTTGCTGATCGCGCAACCCCGAGCTTCCAACAACGGGTTAAGAGAGCTGACTAATCGCGCAACCGAAATTTATAGCGTGCTTGCATGCGCGAAGAACATGGAATTACCAGCGCTTAGAGTGAGGATTGGAGAGGGAAAGCCTGCGTTCTGCATGATCGGCCGCGGCGTGGGGGACGTAACCCTCTTCCACGCATCGATCCGAGCATGCAAGCCGCGGCTTACAAAATTTCAGCAAAAGAAAGAGAGGGAGGGCGGGAGAGACGAAGTGCAAGAAGAAAGATATTGTTACAATGGCGCCCGCCCAAAATTACAGTTACACACACGATTAAGGGCGCCCACTAATCAGAGTACCGTTGCAGCCGCATGAAGAAGCGTGTAGACAAAAGGCGCCATGCGGCAGGGAAAATCCTAATTACTAAATTCCTAAATTCCTATCTAATGCGAAAAAGCAAAAAGAAGCACGAATTCCAGAAGGAAAGTCCGAAATTCCGAGAGCCATCGGGGGCTCGACAAAATTCGAAAAAGATTTAAAAGGAAATTCAAAAAGAAGGAAGCAATTTAGCGCGATGTCCGCGCCCAAACCCAAAAGATCGAAATCGAACTGAAAGAAATGACGTCAACCTTTATTAATCGCGCGCGTGGTGGCGCGCCAGACATCCATCCGACCAATCACTCCACCGGCCGTCCCAAGACACACCCGACCCCGTGCTTGGCCATTCGAAAAAAAAACGGCGAAAAAGGACGAAAAAGCGAGGACACTGATGCAATTCTCCACCGATCCCGATCTCCCGTAATTGTTCCAATCTTCCCAGCTCAAGACCCCTCATTGCAACCGCGCAGAAAATAGCGCGTTACAGAAAGTGGTTCGTCACAAGACTATCGCTGAGAATACCGCTATGGGAGGTGTGAATAATCCTGCTGAATTGGACTGCAACTCATGACCTGTGGGCACAATCTGTTCAAAGCTGCAAGGCGATTATTATGGGCAAGGTGGGAGCTGCAAAGCCTATGGATGCATCCGGCAGGGGTGCTGGTGGTTTTCGGCCAGTTGGAGGGTATTCGAGCTTGGCTCGCAAACGAAACTGGCTGAGGCTGCCAGGATAACTCCGGGTCGAATTGTGAGGTCTTAAACGGTTAAACGGTTAGACACACATATCTCCTAAACAAGGGGGCTGCTGAGACAGGGCTGGGTTATTAGATAAGGGGTGCTCCTAAGAAGGGATGGGTGACACTAGCAGCTCTAAGGGATTTCGGAGCCCCAAGATGAGTTGAATTGGCCACAGCCCTGGGCAACAACAAACCGTAATCTTTGTATTGTACGAAGTATCAAAGGGATGCTGGACCCGGTTTCCAGCAGGTGTTGCTCCCCACCAATAGATGGAGCCTCTCCGACGCTGCTAGATGTGTCTGCTCTTACCAGCACACCTAGCATCCTGTCGGGTTGTTTCCATTAAAAAAAAAA